AACTAGATCCCAGCACTATTTACCCTGATGGTTCGTAAAAGAAGTACGAATCCTTTGCCATTGCTTAAATATTTGAAAGAAGAGAGTTGGTGGTCGTGCTTCAGGAGCATGCTCACAGTTGTGAATACCAAACATGGAACCAGCCAGCTGGCATGCCACAGCAGTCTATGAGACCCACCCCCTCCACTGCCACGCAGACACAGGTAAACAATGGCTCCCCTCCTGGAGGGCTGAGCTTTGCAGACCCCATTCCTGAGCGCCAAAGTCCAGCTTTCTGACAGATACATCCATGTTTTTACTGTCTCTGTTAACATATTACAGAGATGCAACAGTAGCTATGTGCATGCAGAGCCAGTTAACTTTTGGCACAGTATCAGGCAATTCCAGCAATACTTCTTCCATAGCCTTGTTATCAAGGCCATGACACTTACCGGGTCAGGAAATTATTGCCCTGCATTTCATTGCATTTGGACATGTCCTAACTTGTGCTACACCTTTCATAACAAGCCAAGAAGCCAAAGGAATTCTACTTGGACTTTGTAAATTCCATTAACTACTTGGCAGCAAGATGGTGTAAAAAAAACAAGATACTAACTGACATGCAATGGATGAAAACTTAGATGTCTGGAAGAATTATGATCCTCCCATCAGCACCTATGATGTCTCCGTCTTGACAGTGTTATTAAAACATCATCACACTGCTGTTTAACATGAACTGAAATTCACAGTAGTGTTAGTAAATAAGGATTTTTTTACCATACTTTTTTGCAAGCTTAATTGTTCATCTCTGCTAGCAGGGCATTTGCCTCTGGGACATGGAATGGCTAGGGAGGTAGGTAACTACTTCAGCTCTCCTATTTAGATGACTTACATGTAAACCAAAACTTCCCGCAGTCTGTGTCTGCTTAGTCCTGTCCAGACAAACCTGCAGATACTGTCCAAGCTAATGAATGACTTTCAAAGCTGACCTCATACAATCAAGTGGGGGGGAGGCTGAAAAGCCGATTGATGAAGAGAACCTCAAAGGCTTGATAAGACACAGGGTTTATCTTAAAGGAATTCTGTAATTGCTATGCTGTTGGTTTTACAGACAATAAGGTATTGACACTGCCAAGAGCCTTACACAATCCTAGTGGAATTCGGATTGCAAGTGATAAAACAAACGTTTTAAAATCACACTGTAGTGTGTATATGCTGATGTCATCTTTCAGTGTAAAATACTAGGGAAAAAGTCATAATGTTATTATTTGAATAGAAGTTTCTAAATGAAACACCTTGTCTTTTACTGATTCTGAAATTAGGTTTAATCAGAACCTTTCTGGCTAAATTAATGTTCCTAAGTGCAAACTAGAAAGTATGCACACAAAACACATCCCAGCTGTGCAACCACTATTTTGCAGATGAAGGAATCACAAATTTCAGCCTTTCTGCTATCAGCTTTGTTGAAAACTATGTCACAAATTTAGAATATTTTATATGAAATTATCTGAGACTGTTGCCTTAAGAAGGGGAACAAGGCTTGTAAAGGACTTGGAGAAAATGCCCGACTGGAGGAGCGACTGAAGGAACTGGGGCTGTTTAGTCTGGGGAAAAGGAGGCTGAGGGGAGACCTTAGTGCTCTCTTCCAGAACCTGAAAGGTGCTTGCTGTGAGAGCAGGGCTGGTCTCTTCTCACTGGTGCCAGGTGACAGGATGACGGGAAATGGCCTCAAGTTGTGCCAGGGGAAGTTTAGGTTGGATATCAGGAAAAATTTATTTACAAAATCACAGAAATCACACGGTCACATAATCACAGAATCACAGAATGGCCAGAGTTGAAGGGACCTCAAGAATCATGAATCAATCTCCAACCTCCCGGCCATATGCAGGGTCACCAGCCTCCCCATTTAATACTAGACCAGGCTGCCCAGGGCCCCATCCAATCTGGCCTTGAACACCACCAGGGACAGGGCATCCACAGCTTCTCTGGGCAGCCTGTTCCAGCACCTCACCACTCTCTCTGTAAAAAACTTTCCCCTGACATCCAACCTCAATCTTCCCTCCCTCAACTTAAAACCATTTCCCCTTGTCCTGCTGTTATCAACCCTTTCAAAGAGTTGACTCCCCTCCTGTTTATAGGCTCCCTTTAGGTACTGAAAGGCTGCAATGATGTCACCCCACAGCCTTCTCTTCTCCAGACTGAACAAGTCCAGCTCTCTCAGCCTGTCTTCGTAGGGGAGGTGCTCCAGCCCTCTGATCATCCTTGTGGCTCTCCTCTGGACCCTCTCCAACAGCTCCCTGTCTTTCTTGTACTGGGGGCTCCAGACCTGGGTGCAGTACTCCAGATGGGGCCTCACAAGAGAGTAGAGAGGAAAAGGGATATTAAGCACTGGAATAAGCTCCCCATGGAGGTGGCTGAGCCACCACCACTGGATGTGTTTAAAAACAGTATGGATGTGATTCTTAGGAATATGATTTAGTGGAGGGTTGTTAGAGTTAGGGTAGTATGGTTAAGTTGTGATCTTTTCTAATCTGAGCAATTCTATGATTCTTTGATTCCATGATTCTATGAGGAATACTCTTTGGATAAATTCTAAAGCAATTACATAAGACAATATATTTTTTTTCATTCATATGGCTTAATTCACAGGCCATGATATGCACTTACTAAATTCAAGATACTTCGTATTTGTTTACTGAAAAAGTCTGGAAGAGACTTCTAAAGATGATCAAGGTAGGCATCCTGAAGGGTGTTAAATATCCTTAGAAAAGGTGACTCCACAACGACCCTGGGTGGCCTGTTCCAGTGCTTCATCCTATGTTATGTGGCTATCATTTCTCTCTGATATTACTACTCTCCTACAATGCATAAAATCTTCAGTAATGTCAATCACATTAGCATGCAACACTGTAATGTCCTTAGACTGCAGAACTTGCATAGATAAGATCCTTTGAAATATGTTTAATATCTCCTGTACTCTCATTAAAGCTCAACAAAGACATGTAATAGCATGGCAATAGTATAGTAATAGCTTGGTGGTTCTGGCTCCTAGCTTTTGAAACACAGCCCTGCCAAAATAACTGCCCTGACATGTTCTGACATGATCTGAGAACAACTAGAAGCATCATAACATAAAGATAGAAAAGCAGCAAGTTGAAAATTTTTTACTTTTCCTGATAGGAATCAGACTAGTTTTGTCTTACTGACTTTGCTAAAACTGTCTTCGTGAATTGGGATAAGACAAAACCTTCTTTGATATATTCACAAAGAAAGTAAGGATCTAGAAAAGCCTCCCCAGACAAAAATAAAAGAAGTCATTCTTTTGCTTGTTTCAAGCATGTCCAACTGCAGATCCTGGAGATCTGAAAATCTGGCTTAAGTACTGCAGTGCAAAGAACAAACTCATTTAGTGCTTTTTTCTGCCCTATGCACAACCACTACGTGTGTGTTATGGTGAGCACTTCATATTTATACACCAGCCTTGTATGGTTGTAGGAGGCTGAAGTGCAGCCTGACACAGATCTGCCAGTTTCTATTACAGTCATTTTCCTCTTTAGCAAAGGAAGATCAGTGGCACGCGTCCCTGTGGCAGCTCTGTGATATTCAGATATCCCACTGGCAGAAAGCAGCTGCATCACTATAGAGCATTTTGTTTCATGAGTCTGCACTGTTTCCTACATGAATAAAATTAAACATGGCAGGGCTGAGATTAAAGTCCCTTAGCTGCTATTCCTTTCATATTGGAAATTAAATGTTATGCTGCTGACAAACTCTTGTTTTTCTCCACATAAGAAACAGCTTAAGGCTCAAATACCTTCCAGTCCAATCTATACACAATTTCCCATCAGCAGCAAGCTCAAAAAACAGTATGAGAAGAATGACTTTGATGAGTCTCTACCCTTGGCATGATGAGAAGAGTTTGCCAAAGGCTGTGTGGTGTAGCAGTGCTCTCAGAGTCACCATTTTATTGTACTCGATGTATAGCAATTCTCCATAAGAAAAACTGGATGATACTTTCAGATTTCATTTGTTTTCCTGTGAGATAAGAGTCCAATGAGTCATGTATTTGGGGAGATATTGAAACTACTAATAATTATTCAGATTAAATACTACTAATAATATCAGTTGGAATGATTAAAAGTAATTTTAAAATGAGTTATATCTCTCTGCTTGAAAGCAATTAAATATATCTACACAAACTTACTCAAAAGAAAACGAGTATTTCATAGATTATTTAAATTGTCCACTCACTTACAGGGACTGGATCAAAATGCCCCATATTGAAATGTTACTGTTAATAGTAGTACGTCATCCTTCATGGATTTATTTCACAAATAACATTAATAAACCTAGGCTTATAAAGTACAGCACTCCTGAAACAACAGATTATTTTTAGAATATACAGGAGAAATATCTGTAATTTATTTTGGAAAATCTGTTCCTATTTCCTATTTTCCTTCAAATAGGTCAAGTTCAGTACACTTTCAATACAATTTTCTTATCTCTAAGAGCAAAACGTCTCATCAATACAGTCATGTCTGTCAAACTATCTCACTCATTTTATGTAAAGAATCAGGCATGATCTATCTTATCAATCTATGTGTTCAACTGTGTGCACATGCCACTTCATACACAATTCACCATGTAGAAGCATAAATCAAGTAAGACAGTGGCATTTAGGACAGAAAGAGGTGCCTTGGTTGAACACCTCTTCCTGTCTAAATGCAGGTGAGCAATCTGATAACTTAGTATAGAGCAATTTTAGCCAATTCAAATAAATACTGCCTTGAGGCTATTCTAACTTCTGCCAGGAACTGATTCATACATGGTAGGCTTTTGAATCCTGCTGATGGGATCATGATGAAAGGGCAAAGCATCCATGTTTTTCACAAAAAAAGTGGTTTTTTTTCCAAACTTGGTTGTTTTCCATTCTCTTTTGCAAAAGTGCCTCAAGCTCTGGAACAGCTATAGATAAAACTTCTTAATAGCTTGGAAAGGATATTTTTTTGTTTAATCAGGAAGTATTTTTTTTTTTAATATAATGAAAGACATTACTGAAATAAGTGCAGTATTATAGGTAAAAGATAAAATAAGAAGATAGCCTAATCACCAAATTAACAGCAGTTAAAACAATTCTCAGAACTTTAAAAAATTTTACGAAGTAGAGGTTTATATACCCTTACTTCTATCAAATAAACATTCCTAAGATTTACTACAATTGTCACTTCTGGAGTCTTTCTATTGGTGACTGCAATTAAGTACTGAAAGTGATGGCTTTTCCAAAATATAGTCAAACACATCTTTTATCAAATTAAAAAATGTATCATTTTCACTTTTTTTTTCACTTTCACTTTGTTTTCCTTGCTAACATAAAGCCACTATTTCTCATATCTTTTGGTCTTTTTTCCTAACACAGGACACATGAATTAAAAAATACAGAGAAACTTAAAGGATGAAAAGATGCATCTATTAATTGCTAATTTATATATAGATTCCTTGAATTTCAAAGAGTTAATTGTAAAAGAACTTTTGAATAAATATCTACATGCAGGTGAACATTCTTTGTGATACAAACATACAGTAAACATCTAGGATTTTACAAGTCAATCGCTTATATGTCATGTTTATCTGGACAATACTAAAAGGGTAAACTAAGAGGAATGAGAATATTGACAGAAAATTTTGTTCTGTCTAGACACACTTGTGTTACTCTCACCATAAAAATATTTTCACTCTTGATAAATAGAAAAAGAATAAACAACATAAACTTGTAAACAGAATACAATACTTGTGTCCTTTATTATTTTTATGAGAGAAATGAGCCATTAAAAACAAAATTAATTTTTGAGTCATAGAAAACCAATATACTTCACTTTTAAGGTTGTAAATTACATGATCCCAAAGCAATATTCATATTTCACATTTTGATAGCACTTGTCAACCCGATTTTTTAATTATTTGCCAGTTATCTTGTTATGTACAATGTTGAGATTGTAAGGTCTATGAAGGAAGAACCTCCTTATCCTTTCTAGTAACTACCATAAAGGAATTATCTCCCATTATAAATATTTTTCCTGAAGTCATCCCCAGCATCCAAGCACTTCAAAGCAATTAATGAAGACTGGTCATTATTATATCTGTGTGATTTATAAGGATGCAAAAGAAATGAATTTTCTGAGGATTTTCGGCTTTTATTCTGCCTGGAAATACTCAGTCCTGAGTGCATTCAGATACGGATGTGTCCAGGCAGACTCAGCATATGTGCATTCCACCGGGTAAGTCTGTGGAAATAACCACTCTGTAAATATCTAATTTCCACAGATCAGTGGCATTGCCACAGATTGACTTAGGCAAGTATCAGCTGGTACAGAGGCAAATATTAGGTAGCAAGGTAACACAAGCTGCCAGTCACAGCCTTTACTGCAGACTACTTGAGCCAGTCTTGCATATTGCAAGTGCAGCAGCTGCTGTGTAGGAAGAAGCTAGAGGAACAAGCTAATGGCCACACTATGAATTTTATCAGCTTGCCATGAAATGCTTCAAGTCCCACCTGTCATGAATTTAGTAGATTCCAAAAACAACTAACAAATTTCCGTCAACATTATAAAGTCTACAAAACAAGAAAGTTCCATAAACATCAGTGCATAGCACAGCTGTAACATCACAGAAGTCTTTGTTGTTTTGTTTAAGAAAGTGGACATATAGGGGAGCTTAGATCTGGAATTCACCACGTTTTGGAAATAAGTGCACAACCCAAGCAGGTTGTTATTGTATCTGAAAAGAAAGGTTATGCATACAAACAAGTACCGTCAGTGCCCCAATGTCTGCCCTGCTACATAGACCTTGCTCAGTCATTTTCCAGGCCCTGAGAGAGCAAAACTGCCAAAACATACTAAAGCTATACTAAATGATTAATTCACAGGTCATCCGAAAGTAATGCCTCCTATTTATTTTCATGGACAGTACAACAGATACAAAAAGCAAATAACACTATTCGATAGACTAAATTCTCTGCTACAAACACTCTTTTTCAACACAGTCACCAATATTAGTCGTGCATTTTTGCCAGTGATGAACTGGAGACTTTATGCCATGTTCACAAAAATCTGCACCAGCAGAGGTGATCCACTCTCACTGTCATTGCTGCTGAAACACACCAGCCATTGTGATCACATCCACTGCTTGGGCTCCATAAACATCAGCAAGTGTCAGTTAATATCAACTGGGGCCATAGAGGAATTCAGTGTCACATAGTGACAGTTTCATATGCGTTTCCATGTCAGATGCCACACTGTCGGAGTGCCTTTCTGCTGCCATCTGTCACACAGCAAAAACATGGAATGGAATACTCTGGGAAGATTCATTTTCTACTGCCATATCACCAAGGCACTACTTTTGGAGCAGCTCTCACAGAAAGAGTGGCTGGCATGTAATGGGTGGATAGGACATTTTAATTGTTAATACGCATCACCATTACTGACCTATAAAATTTAGGTCACTTGGACATTTGTAGCAGTCTCAGCATGTTGGAATTGCTTTTTCCTTATTCATCTTCCATAGCCAAGATTAGATGCCTGTTCTGAAACACATGAAGATCTGACATTCGAATTATAGTCTCTAAATTGCACAGAATCTATTCTTCCTCACGAAACTCTGTCTAGGCAAAATTCTATTAGTTTTTACGCCTTTTGGATTTGCAATTGGGTTCTTGATTCTAAGCAGAGCAAGTCAGAGCCTCAAATTTGAATTCTCAGGAAGATATTTGGTAGAACCGTTCTGTGATGGATTCAATTGAAAACAAAATATCCACAGCAGCTGAAAATCAGTTTTGTTCTTGACACACCATTTACATTAGGTACTTTTCTTCTGTACTTGAAGGGAATATTTGTCATTACAACATTGCAGTGTTTCAGTATATTAGTATAAATGCTTTACCACATCTTTACATCCTATTGTTAATTTTGGTGATTTTTTTTTAATAGCTGATATTTTTAAGAATAAATTGTCAAAATATTGTGAATACAAGTTGGGAAGGAATGCATTTGCAGTGCTTTCTTTTCTCTATCATGCAAAAGACCTAACTGAATATTTAAAACAGTGATTATGAAAGGTCATTTCCATGTAATGCAGTTATAATTTACATGTTTGAAACTAGTATTTCAGGTGCATTGAAAACAATACCAGGAAGTTATTTCTTCACATTAAAGACACAGAAAAACATATTCCTCTTTTGAAGAAGGTATACATAAAATTGTAGCAATAGAATCAATAATAGACATTTTGCATTTACTCTTGCTTATTTACGTATGCCATAGAAAGTCCGAGTAATTAATAGATAGATTTAGTCCAGAATGTAAAATAACTCACAGCTTTTCAACATCTCGGACTGCTCTGAATTTATAATTTTTAATCAATGTCTGATTTTGTCTCTTGATGATTTGGGTAGAATCTTGGGCTTAATAACACAATTTGCAAAGCTCCCATTGGATTTAAATAAATCAAAGAGTATTAATTGCCAATCTGTGCATTGCCCCTTTAGGAAAACAAAACAACAACAACAATATATATATATGTGTATATATCCTATGTCATTGCTGTGATTGTGTCTCAGCTCATCAGGAGTTCTCAGCCCACTAGCTGTTAACCAGATCTTTGAGAGGAGCGTTATCCTAGACAATGAAGCCAGAAGAACGTTACTGGACTGGCTTGAAATTACACAGCTGCTCCGTGGCTTCCCCTGCAGACAGTGTTAGACAGAGCAGCTCTCAGGCATTGAAAGGTAAATCACTCCTAGTCAAAATGAAAGTGAGATCTTATACAGGACCACAGAAGAACTAGAGAGGGGATAATAGCTAGATAATAGCTGATTGTTGCTGTCATAGACAAAGGAAGATAAACAAACTCAGTGAGTTTACCATACTGTTTATTAACAGAGGTAATAAATAATGTTTGGGTCTTCTACCATTTTTTTCTTGAAGAAAATTCATATGAGCTAAGAAAAGGAAATTGGTCCTGCTGTATCTCTGCTATTTAGAGTCAGAAAGCAATTCTTCAAATAGTGCCCCGGGTGCTGTGATTTCAAGGGAAAATGAGTATGTTTATGGCCATATAAAACAGCCATGATATGAACCTGCATTGGTCAGAGTGCATTTGTAAACTGTTATAATCAACATAGTTGTCTTTTGCAGTCTTAAAATGAGAATGCTGTAAAACAAAGGGACTCTATTTTTCCTTCTTCCCATGAAAGCTGAAGGACACCTGGTAATGTATGCAGAGTTGAAATGCAGTTTTGCAAGCACTGTTTCCTTTCTTCTGCTTAGCTAGGAAACAGTGTTGCATTTTGTTTAGCATTGCAGTGGGGAAACAAAAGTTGTTTATGTTAGAGAATTACATGCCAGTTATTCAAAGACTATAAGAAGCAGTGTTCATCCAAGTGAATTTTGAAAGGTACAGGTTATAGGTGCCACAGAAATGACACAGCCATCTATCTAAATCGTGAATACAGGCTGATCACAGCAGGAGCAGAATACACATTTTTAAAACGCTCTCATTTTACATTTTGACTACAGAGGGACAGCCCTGCACAAATACCATGAGCTAATACAGGAAGCTCAAGAAACATGGGAGTTTACTTAGTAGCTTGTGTACCTCCTTCCCATACAATTGTGGAAAGAATAAGAACACCTACAGGGAGAGGGGATGGTGAATGAATGGGAACTCAGAACAAGGGAACAGGAGCATTGCAATATCTGTGATGGTGATCATGTGAAGTGATGATATGCAAGTTGGCTAAGCAGTCCTTTCCCCACCCACCATTCTTCAAACTTATGCTGAAATTGCTGCCACTCCTTATTATTTTCCCCACTCCTTCCTAACAGGAATAAAAATGAGTTAGGATTTGAAAAGGTATACTCTCTACAGCTGCTTCTACTAGAGATTTCTAACATGTTTCCTCCCCCTTCCTGTAAGCATCTTACTACCAGCTATAGAGAAATATTATTTCTAGCCATGTATTCTCCCATACCCTCCAGAGGTGTGAAGAAGAAACTGGAAGAAAATGCCTCATCTTAGGGAAAGAGGTTTGATTTTCTTTTTACACATTCCAATAGGTAGACACTGCAATAGCATTTTTTAACTTAAATGGTCTCTATTTCCCCATTTGATAATTGTGTCTTCGTTGTCCTAAACAAAGCATCTCAATATGCCAGTTTCTGTGTTTCCTTCATGTGCTAGCACCTCCAAGATTATATCCTTCCATCCATGCGTGCCAGTGCATGGCATATGTAACAATCAAAACACAATTATGATGAAGAGATTTCCAAACTTTTTGCAGGAAGCTACAGGAGCAGGAATATAAAGCTTGAGAAAATCGTTCTATGTCATGCAGAAAGGAGATACTTTTAAAGAGATGTTTGAAAATCAGTCTATCACTTTTCAGGTAAGAAGGAAAACAAGTATGAGTATGAGATGTTTGTGGGTGAAAATGATGTCTTTTATAAAGTTGCAATCTCATGTCTGAAGGAATCAAAGTAATTAAGTGTGTAAAAGACATCGCATCTACCTCAGCATATTTCCACTCCAGAAGTTGAAAACAGAATCAGGAGGCAGCTGAGTTCCAAAACCGAGTTGACAGTTTGAAGTAAAAATATTTGTAAACAATCCTAGTCCCTTTTTTTGCCTAGTAGGTAACCATGTTACAAGCTGTTCTAACAAAGAATTGAAACTGATGAAACTTCCACAAACCAGACTGCAAGATAAGAGCTTTCCCAAAGCAACGTTCCTGGCAGCCAGTCAAGCTGTGGAGTTTCTCTACACCTGCATGGTTACTGTGATGTCCACACACAAGTCCACATTAGAAAATTATACAAAACATTGTTGTGTCTTCCCAACTGAAATTTAAGCCTGAGTAGATATAAATCAATTCTGAGTTAGACAGCTGTACAGCAAGCTCTCTTGTTTTTCTTTGGGCTGGGTTTTTGTTTGTTTGTTTATTTCATGTTTTTGCCAGGCAGAATCAACTGTTCAAGTTACATATATATATATACATATATATGTTAATACATATCTACACTTAAATATATATAACAAACACATGTATGTATTAGCTTTTGTACTATCTAGAAGTTAAAAACAATAAATGCTTAGTTGTACCTTTTTTATTGACATAGCCTTCCTGTTCCTATGACTACTTTCCTCTGAGGAAAATGTGACATGTTGGATGATTTCCCATTTTCTATTCAAAGAAGAAGTATACACGCTAGCCAGCATTTGACTTCTCTGTTAATCTTTAGCTACCAAAGAACATCTGCAGCCTAGCAGTTTGTTCTGCTGCCCAAGGTCGGTAATAATCAAAATACATTGTTCAACAAAGGGAAAGGTTGACATTATACCTCCTGGGAATAAAATAATTTTTAATTTATATGTAGCAGCACAAAAGAGGCACACAGTGCAGATTCATGTAAAACAAAGACAAGTAACATTTAGAATCATATGTGAAGTCTAGTTCTTCTTCCTAACCTGGGAAAATAGAAGGGGTGAAAAAAATGAAGGCCTATACATACTGCCTTCATTACAGTCACAGCAACGTGCTACTGCTGCAACATCCGTGAGATATGCAGGATGGAATGGAATCTCCCTCCCACTTTGTATTACACCATTCTATTGTGTAGTGTTGTGCATGTTTAACTTTCTGATACAATGCAATGGCTTTCGTATGATCAAATTGCAAATAAATACAGGGAACAGATCCAGGTACCTAGAAATTCCCAGGACACCACTGCAGGTAATTCCATGCTTCAGAGAAGGCATTCACAAGCTTTGTGGCAGACATAGATTCATGGAGATACCTGTAACGTAAATCAATACGTGCTAATATTACGTATTTCACAGCAGCAGCTGAGCACATTCCACAATAGGAATGTTCCTGGACCTTATATTTACAGTACTACACGTCAGTTTAATACCCACTGATGTCATGTTTATTCCTAATAGATTTCATAATATCCAACCTATTATCAATTACCTATCAATGGGCTTTCTGTCATACTTTATAAACAGTAGACTAGGAGCTTCCATTATTTTTTTCGTCTTCACTACCACACCATGAATTCTATACTATGAATTCTATACTATTAATTCATTTCTTTACTGTTGGACTTCTGTTACAGCCTGAGTCATATCTAATATATGTATAATATACTGCATTATTATGGAATATCAGCACCTGAATGAAACTCTGATAGAATTACTTTCACTGTTTAAATATCATGCATGATCAGAATTAGACTATTACAAGAAAAAGCAAAAGAGAACCAACACCTACAAAGAGTCCAAAAGTGCCTTTTGAACTGAAGGTTTAGAGTACACTCTAATCACAGGGGAGCTGGTTATGAACAAAACAATTGCTTGTTGTATATTATAACTCAGTGTGTTTTCCTTTCTTATTTTGCCATATGAATGAACTGGTTTGTTGTAGAAATATTCCTTCTGCTATTTTTCTGCATCTATGCAAACTATGCATTACTTTCTTGGATCTGTGCTGAAGACATCTTACCATTCTCAAATATAGGAAGGGAATAATGAGAAAGTGCCGTTAGAGAGATTTTTCACAAAAGAACAAACTGCATGCTTGCCTGTTAGAAAAGACAGCTGGGATTAAGATATCGTTTTACAAGAAAAGTGGTGACATTTTCACTATTAGACAACACAGAGAAAGAGTGGAACATTAGATGGTGCACAAAGGCTGATCAGCTGAAGATGTGAAGGTGGATGGAAAAAAAATGTCATTTGCCCCAAGGCCCTGTCATTCAGGAGAAGGTTCATAGTAAATTTAAGTCTTTCAGAAAACTGTTCTGGTTGAAGCTAACTGAGCAAATGCAAATTGGCAAGGTTTGTTCTTATTCCTTCTCTGTCATTATCTCCTTATAGGATACTAAGCGACTGCATCCTCTTGCCTGAAGTTACCCACTCTGAAAAGGAAGAATGAGGATATTGGCCTTACATGAGTTGGTTTTACCACAAGTTACTGTACTTTCACAAAGACTTCATCTTGAAAAGGATTTCCCACTTTCTACATGGAGACAGATAGCTAAGGACTTGCAAAGAGAGTTCTGTCCTACCCAAAAGTTATATATGTCAAGTGTAGGAGGGCTGTCTCTCTTAAAAGGCCTTGCCTGTGCCTCTTCAGTGACTGAGAGCATAGACAACCATTTAAAGCGTACACATAATAGACGATGATGAGTTAAATTCATCAGAAACTGAGACTTATCACATAAATAATATATTCTTATACAATATATCTATGCCAATATTTTTTCAACATGTGGATCTTTAGTGCACCAATCAACCATGTATACTGTAGATAAGGTTAAATTAAATTAAATTCTTCAAGAATTTAATCAGCAATTTTTTTACTTTCTTTGGAAAAAGATTATGTTCTTGCTTTTCCTAAAGTATGCAGAATATTTATTTTGTCTGAATACTGACATTTTGGTCTATTCTTATATTAATAAGCATTTCTCAGTTCTAGTACATTGCATAAAATCATTATTCCTTATCACCGGGACACAGTTTATCATTTTTTTATTAAACTCAAAATTTTTACTTCAGTAAACTCCAGTCCAAAACCAAACCAAACCATACCAAATTGGGGAGGTGTTACCCAAGAGCTTTAACCTCTTTTTTATTAATGGGAAATAAAAGGTACATTAAAAAAGAAACAAATAAACAGTGTAAATGATCTCCCACTCCAGTTCAAACAGCCTAGTAATTTAAAAAAAATTATGCAGTTGTATTCTGAAAGGACTAAAATAAGCCTCAAAAAATTATTTGTATTTCAGGTAACTTTTAATTTCATAGCACATACTTTTCAATATCCATTACCCTGTAGCCATTGTCATAGGCTCTCATTTTTTTCTTTCAAACTTTAAGAAGGAAATGAAGACAAAATCTTCATGTTAATTAAGAAATGTGGTGGAACTAAACACTTCTCTCTGGAATAACTAGAAAATCTCTGCATTGCCAGTGAAGTAATTTCAAATAGCAACTTCATAAGAGACGAGCTTAAATAAGTTCTAACACTTTGAAAGATGACTTTGCTGTGCCACTTGCACAGCAACTGCCTTCCATTTTGCATAATAATCCCTCAGATATCATAAAAGTTATTGGGGTTTAACGCAGCAAAAGTGAAGATTAGCAGTAAAAATGGTGAATGTTCTGAAGAATTTCAAAGTGAGATTTTTCAAATACATTGTTATAGGACAACTCACAAAGAAATATCTGTGAACTTTAGGATTTTATTCAGAATCTGAAATATCTCTGCATTAAAAAAGAGTGAGGGGAGGTGTTCCAAAGAATCTGAACCCTCCCCACTCCCCCCGATAACATCAGGAAATCTCTGAAGAAGAAAATATGAGTTCACTCTTCCTTAAATGCTCCAAATGCAAGAATGGCAAAAATCATGGCGACATTCACAGATGACATGGGAAGAAAAAAGGGATGTTGCAGTGATGTGTATACTGAGCTGACTTTTCAGTCTGCCTTTATAAGGGAAAACTTCTAAACTTTTTGCTGCAAAGAAAACTTTTTTAATAATGTACTTGAAATATGTCTAGGCAGTATAACCAGGTCCCCTGAACAGAAGCTAAAGACAGCAAAATATAAATAAGAAATACAGCACAAGTTTACAGAAAAGCTAACTGTCCATTCTGATCAACCAAGCAAAATCAGATATACAAGTTGCAGGTAAATCAGAAAGTAAATTCTAGTTAGATATACAGGAAAAGAAAGCATTCCAGTGAGTACAGTCAAACATTACAATACGCTGTCATGAAAGCCTGTCAAACATCCATCTTTAGTTATTTTTGAATCTCAATAAAGACAGGTCTTTGTAATTGGATTTAACTTTGAAAATATCCCTGCTTTAGTAGTAATAGCAGTATTTTAGCAGTAGTGCCATATCCAAAGGAAAGCAGCACTTGAATATATACTATATCACACAAAATAAAAGCACTGAATATGACAGGAGGACAGGAAAGGTAATTCAGAATTTCCACTTGTTCATCAGGAATATGCATATAAAAACATATATCTCTGTACAAAATTACTGACTAAAGAAAAAAAAAATTGAATGCAAAAAAAAATCGCCAGTGATTTTTCTCTCCTACTTGAGTGTCAACAGCAAATAAATATTTTTCACTACTGACATGACATACTACATCATTTATGGCACTCCTTTCAGTGCCCACGGAGGTGAAGATACTCTTGTATGATTATATTTCATTACTTCTTTCAGGTGCAAGAGAGCATGCTATATAGCTCGAATAAAATGATAAGCAAGAGCTGAAGCAGAAATGGACATTTAATGTCTGAATTTTTGAAACACTGGTTTCTATGGTGACAGATGATTTTTCCTAACATTGGCTACACATACTTGACTTTAAGAATTTGAAACAGAAAGAAAAAAGAATAGGAGAATTTCTGGTAGTAGGAAAGGAAATGTAGAAATGAGAAATGTTCTTGTCTTTATCATGAAGTTGAAAAAGCATCTTTTAATTAAAAACAAAAAACAAAACAAAACAAAACAAAAAAAACCCAAACAAACCAACAACCATGTTCAATTGAACCAATTGCAGAAAATTTTCAGTTTAAGAAAAAAGAGGAATATAGATAGAGACGGAAACCTTTTCAGTTCTTGGATTAAGAATGGCTCTCCTTTGAAGCTTAGAAGGACTGTTCCTCCCACAACGAACATTTATGAACAACTCTTAAAAGATGCATTAAATGGCTTTTTCATCTCTCATATCCCAGAGTTGTTCTTCAGCAGGAAAGCACTGAAATTCCTCACTTTTTCCAAAGAAAGCACGTGAGCTTACAGGCAAGACAGATATTGGCATTCCAATGAAGGCCTGAAAGCTGTCTTATTATGCAGATCTTGCTAGTTCTCTGAATGATTTTTATGTGCCATCTTCTGAAGCAGGAAATGAATCTTTACCAGCACATCCAGAAACAGGGTACCTGGAGGACTGTGTGAAAGAAATGGGCCTAGGGGTGTTGGTTGATGCTTGGTTAAATGTGACTCACCAGTGTGCCCAGCCAGCCAATGGCATCCTTGCTTGTATCAGAAATAGCGTTCCAGCAGTAGCAGGGAAGTGATTGCATACCTGTACTCAGCACTGGTGGAGTTGCACCTCGAGTACTGTGTTCAGTTTCAAACAAGAAAGACATGGACACCCTAGAGAATGTCCAGAGGAAGGCAACAAAGCTGATGAGGATCTGGAGAACAGGCCTTATGAGGAGCAGCTGAAGTAACTGGGATTGTTCAGTCTGGAGAAGAGGAGGCTCAGGGGAGACTATATCACTACGTATAATTACCAGAAAGGGGGTTGTGGTGAGGTAACAAGTGATAGGACTAGAGGGAATGGCCTCAAGTTGTGCAAGGGGATATTCAGATTGAATATTAAGAGAGGTTTATCTTCTGAAAGGGTGGTTAGACTCTGGATGGGTTGTTCAGGAGATGACTGAGTCACCAACCCTGGAGGTCTTCAAAAAACATGTAGATTTTGTACTAAGGGACATGGCTCAGTGAGGAAATTTTAGTGGTAAGTGGACAGCTGGACTCGATGATCTTGGAGGTCTTTATCAAACGTAGTAATTCTGTGATTCTGTAATTCTACAGTCTTGTTCTGGATTGCATGAGGAATAGCTAAGTGGAAGGAACATAACGTAGTAGGAGTTCTGGTGAAAGCCAAATCATTGCAAATTTTGAAAAAGATTTCACAACAGAATCATAAAATAGCAGAATCATAGCTGCTGGAAAGGACTTCTGGAGACCATCTAGTCCAATCTCTTGCTAAAACAGGTTCTGAACAGTAGGTTACACAGGAAAGTGTCCAGACAGGTCTTGATTATCTCTGGAGAAGGAGACTCCACATCCTCTCTGAGCAGCCTGCTGCAGTGTTCTGTCACTATTACAATTAAGAAAAATCTTTCTTATGTTTTTATGGAACTTCCTGTATTCCAGTTTGTGTTCATTGGTCAGTCACTGAGTTAAAAAGAGCCTAGCACCATCCACTCTACTCCCACTCTTTAGATATTTATGAGCATATCATTGATATGATCCCCTCTAAGTCTTCTGTTCTCCAGGCTGAACAGACCCAGATCTCTCAGCCTTTCTTCATAAACGAAGTGCTTCTGACCACTAATCATCTTTGTGGCCCTCCACTGGACTCTCTCTAAAAGTTTCCTGTCTTGTTCTGGGGAGCCCTGAAGTGGATGCAGTACTCGAAATGTGGCCTCATCAGGGTAGAGTAGAGGGGGATGATCGCCTCCCTTGGCCTGCTGGCCGCTCTTTATTTAATGCATGCCAGGATACCACTGGCTTTCTTAGCCACCAGAAAACACTGGGGGCTCATGGCCAACCTGTTGTCCACCATAACCCCCAGGCCCTTCTCCTTAGAGGTCCTTTGCTACAGGTCAGCCTCAAACCTGTGATGGTGCGTGTGGTTATTTCTCCTGAGGTGCAGGTCTCCACACTTGCCCTTGTTGGACTGCACCAAGTTCCTCTCCAGCCAGTTCACCAGTCTGTCTGTGTCACTCACCAGTCTGCCCAGGTCAAAACTGTAGTTGTAACAGCAAGCAGCAAGATAAGTGCCTCAAACATTTTGAGAAAATCTCAGAGATTTAGGAGTAGTTTCAGTGTTACTTAATAAATGCCCATTTTTTATGCAAATAGAGCACTCATAGAACTCTAACTTTGTTCTCCCTCTGGCTGCAGGCTCTACTCCACAACAAATAGCATGGATGAAAGACCATGATGCCATGTCTCCTCCATGCTCAGACAGGCGGTGTGCTGCTGGCCTTCCATAATCTTCCATTCAGCTCTGTGCTTCTTAGACTCTTTTCTAGGGAAATTGCAGAATCATACAATCCATAGCCCCATGCCATGTACCTCTGTACACATCTCATCCGTTAGAATAGTGACAGTTGACACAAGGTTGTATAATTACGGTTTTCATTCAGTTTAATATATTTTCACTTAAAATCCTGGCAAACTGTACTCAGTGACAGCAAAGGAAGCTTCAGCTGAAGCATCTGGCTGCAAGTCTCAGGATGAGAAAGAGGAAACAGACTGTATTTCTTAAAACAAGATAAGGATAACCAATTGCAAACTAGCAAATAATGCTTTGTAGTCTCTAGGAGATGCAGATGTAAATCACATGTCAACTATTATTACGACTGCAAATTTGATGGAGGGAAAGAAAACTCCACCCTAGCACACATAAGAGTCTCCTCCCTGCTAACTTTGACATTTTGCTGGTTATTGCTAAGTGTTCTGCTTGTGCAACCTCATCGAATTTCCCCTACGTCACTCTTGCAGCCTGTTTCCTGGTCACTCTGGCCTCTACAGGAATCTGGCATAACTTTTACATGTGGATAATTGTGTGTCACAACAAAGTGTCCCCTCCCATGCATCCACCCACCCACACATTTAATAAATGCGCAGAAGTGACCTAGGATTTCCTACACAGGGAATGGATGACAAATACGTGAAATCTGTGAGCAATCCCTTCATTTCAGTGAAGAATGTGACAATTCTTTCACACGTACTGTTTTCTGTAAAATAAGAATTTCACAAATATAATCTGCCCCAGTCAATATCCCCGGACAAACGTGGATCTTTGTCATATGGATGCCATTGTTACTTAGCAGAAGGAGTCCCAGACTGGGAGTTGGACTAGATAGCCGTCTAGTCTAGAGGCCCTTTCCAACTCTTAAGAATTCTATGATTCTATGATTCTGTAGCAAACATATTCTTTTCCTCAGTCTCCAAAAAGCATCTCAGTCTACAGACTGGGGTGGGTAGATGATGATAAGTTGCTCTTCCCTCATCTCTACCCCTAGATTCCCAAGTATATTTCCAAAGCAATAAAGCCTTAATTTCAGTGGATATTTAGCTTACAGAGACTTCAGCATTCATACTTATGCAGAAAAGAATTTTCCTAACAGAATTCTCTTGACTATTTGAAGTTGTTCAGCTGGTTGTTAGCTGGTATGTATAACAGAGAGCAGAATCAAGAATGTAATTATAGCATGTGCATGATCTCACCTCGAAGTACAGATATGGGATATATTATATTTAAAGTTCCAGTTTTTATCCCCTATCTATAAATGAAGCAGACATATGCCCTGATAAGAAAGTCTACGTAAGATTCCATTTTCTTCGGAGAAATGGCTAAACACATACTAAGCAAATAATTAAACAAAGAGCCAGCATACATCAGTTCAATGCATGTAGTTCTTGATTCTATTATTAAAGGCCACGGTAGCCACTGGATTGGTGCACAATAGTAATACGTCTCAGTCACTTCCAGGGATGAACCAATGCTGGTGTCTCTCATCAAACAGAGCTTTGGAGGCAGACCTTGTCACTGATGAGTAGATCAAACTGCATATGGATTAATGCAATACTGGCCTGTATTATATGGATCTTTCAGATATCTTGTCATTATGATGAAGGATCATCAGGAGGTCATCATACGGGCTGTATTCCAAAGACTGCAATTTCATATGGTTGTGTATGTTGGAATTTGTGCAACTGTGACACATTTTGAAAAAAGTTCTTTGTTTTCTGCATTTTATGTATTTACATATCTATTTATGTTGCTCATATTTTGAGATCTGATACTACAGCAAGTTACTTTATAATTTGAAATTGTACTTGCTATAGTGTATACTTGAAAAATGGAAATTTAGATAAAGAATTAAGACCCAGATATTGAAATCCTATTGTCCAAAGTAGTTCTGAATGGTGAACTTATCACATCACTCCAGGAACAGTCCGAAGACTCAAAGAAACTGGGAAGTGGTTTCTCACATAATTCGACAATTAGTCTTTTTCTGATTTAAAACAATGCTATTTAATAATTTTAAAATAAACTCCTTTATAAATCCACACAGAAAATCTTATACATAGCCAGGATGTTAAAAAAACAAAACAAAACAAAACAAAAACCCAAATAGAAGATTAGTTAATCTGTGAACAAGGAGTCTAAAATTTGTCTAAAGCAATCCTCACACTGAATACATTCTGCACTAAAAGTTTTGTTTCCTTGCACTAGAGTAGAGAGCAGCACAGTATATGTGAGGAAATTTGAGTGTAATGGTGAGTGAGGCAAAGGACTGAGAAGTGTGAGAGTCACACAGGGAAGGGAGAAAAACAAGAATTTGAGATGGTAGGGGTCAAAAACATTAAAAAAATATTTAATAGCTCAGCCATATCAGTTCTGTCACTGATGAAAAGGTACTGTTGGAACAACAAATACATTACCTAGTGACATAACTTGTCTCTAATCACTGTTCAAAAGCTTAAAAGAGAATTTGTTTGAATATAAATCATTTCAAGTACAATTCTAATAATCAGAAACAGTGTAGAAGATAACTCTGTGTATTGCACTTTACAGCCTTCCAATGGTCCATTCTAATCTAATTAAGCAGCTTCCTTGGAGAGCAGGTGGGAATTTGCTCTATCAGAAAAGACACGAGAGGCCTCTGGAATCAAGAGGAAAGTATTAGTCTAGCAGAGCTTTTAGTAATTAAGCACTTCACAACAGCTGTTAATGTAATCTGCCTCCTCTGGGCTAACTTCGCATCTATCCAGGATTCCCTACATAGAGCTGCCTAGTCAACAAAATATTACGCAGAGTCTCAAGGGCACCATTGCTTCAATTCTTAAAATATGCTGCCTCTGGCCACGTGATTTAGTGCTCATGGTTATTTCACAAAGAATAGACAGGATCCCTGGAGGAGAGCCATAGAAGAAACAGACTCACTGTAGTCTGTTTACTATTGTCCTGGCGGGGCGCAAGAACACAATATTGAAAAGGGTGGGGCAGTGGAAGAGTTTTTTTATAGATATTGTCTTGGTAGTCCTTTTTAGGGAAGCATGGTAAGATCAGACAAACATCTTGAGAGCAGTTCTGTACAGGGAGTAGGGAGAGAAAGACAGTAGATATTACTAAGAAGCAAGGAAAGAAAGAAAATGTCTTGTTTATGCTGTCATTTGACACCATCTAGTAAATGGGCTTAGTTCTATCCAAATCAGTTTAGCCTCTTCAGTTTTCAGGTGTTTGTAGATATAACATTTTTCTTTAATACCATCTGCTCTTTGGAGATATTTTTTTAGAATTAAAAAAAAGTCAAAATTCAAAATTCATTAGCTTCAGTTAGCTCTTCAGCATGTTATAATCCCATGCTCCTAGTATAACAATTATTGTTTTAATCAGAAGTAGAAGACAGAATATCAGAGCTCAGATTAAGTGACCTTCCTAGCGTGCTACAAAGCTTCAATTTTATTTTCCTTGTTATAGTGTTTGAAGAGCAATTGAAATCTCCATTATTAAATACTTCTATGCTGTGATGATATTTCTTCAACTATACTACCATGAAGTTCAGCTTCTTCTGAATACTTTATCATCTTATCTAGCATTCCACAACTGTAGCTTCTCTCAGAATTTCAAGTTAAATTCTTCAGCCAGCCAAAATAATGGGCTTTCAGGATGGCTTTATTAGCTTCTATAGTATTTCTAAAGTTGCTTATAAGGAAGGTTGCATCCTACATGATCTACTAAGCCACGTTGCTTCTCACCCTGTTGAACTAATCTATCTGTCTATACTGCCTCTGAGTTCCGAGGCATTAGAAGTTGTTCTATATTATTATCATTTAAAACTAGAGAGCAGTAGTGCTCTGCCTAAGAGGAGCACAGAACAAGAAGAATGGGGAAATCAAAGAGGCTAGTGCTGAACAGAATCACAAGAGGAAGCACACACCAAGAATAGTGTACTTGTTAGGAGGCCAGGAGCATCAGTGGAGTCTGTAACATATTTCCTGGATGTCTGAAAGAAAGAAAGGTTCAAATTCATGTTATAGACATAGCATCAGACACAGTTTCACTTCTTGTTCTCTGAGAGGAAAGATCTTTGCGTCATTTCCACCACTTTGATTACAATACCAACAAATGCTTAATTAAATGCAATGTTTTACCCTTGAAGTACCCCAAAAGACTGAAACATTCATATATTAAACCAAGGAATATTAACATTACTTCTGGGCTGAAATTTTCTGGGAATTAAATCATCACATTTTTTTCATGCTGCAACATGTCAGCATTCTATATACTTGCTGCAAAGCTAGCTCTTTATACAGCTTTTGATTGATTTTTTTTCTTTTTTTCTTTTTTCTTTTTTTTTTAACAAGATCGATGTTTTAAAAAAGAGCCAAGATAAATGTATGTTTCTTTGCTGGCAGCTGTGCAAATTTAGGATGTGAGTTTTCAGTTGACTTCTGCCAGGAACATCTGCCTTGAACTCACTTTAGTCTTACTAAAGCTGTCACCCTTCCGAAAGGAATTCCTGTTTCCCTTCCTTTCACACACATATGCGCTGCTTATCAGGGCATCTAGAGGAACAGCCAGATCTGTGTGATTAAAAAAAAGAGAAGGCCTGTCACTCACCATATCCCTTGGATTCAACAGAAAGGAAATTCATTTTAGGGAGCATTGAAACCAAACAATAGCAACTCTGCAGCTGGTTTCAGGGGTCTGATGTCAACAACACTAGACACATTTTTATCTCATTTGAGATGTATTGAAAAAGGAGAGTGCTTGATGAACAGTGGCTGACATAAACCAAAACAGATTTGCTCAGCAAGTAAAGTGGGATGAGAACAGAATTGTGCCACACACACTTTGGAACTTACAAAAAAATCCATATACTATTAAATGAAGATTATTTGAAAAGTAATTTCTGCTAATAAGTACTTAAAGAAAGATTTCTTTCTTTATGCACAACAATTTAAAAAAAATGCGTTCCTTTTTGAAATTTGTTGCATTTAAAGCTGTTAAATTTAAATGTATTGTCATCAACAATTATTCATCTGAGCAGGTAGCAAATCAATCTTCTTTCATGGTGACAAGGTTCAGAAAAAGAAAAAACAAACAACTAGTCTTTGAAGCTTTCAGAGATGACATAGTCAAGGATTAGTTTTAAAATATTTGTGCTTGCTTTGTAATAAGCAGTTTAATCCAGTTGCTTTTTATATTCTCTTCATGGGATCTTCCTGTTTTCTTTAGCTTCAACACTGCTCTTTCTTATCTTCTACAAGAAATCCAGATGGCTAAGATTTAAGAAAGATCATGCTTGATGACTAATGCATTAATACAGAGGATATTACGTTGTCTGAAGAACAAGCAAAGAGTAAACAATTAAAAGAATGTTTATGCTTCTTAAAAAGAAAAAAAAGAACTTTTGAAAACACCTGTCACAGCATCCAAACCCCGTCCTCTTTCACAGTTTTTTGTAACTTCCCAGAGATCTCTCAACACTTCCAAGTATTTTTTCATAACCAAGTGCTTCATGGCTACACAAAGTCCACCAACATAAAGGATTTTACTTAAAAAATAATTTTGTACGTATAGCTCATCCAAACGTGTGTATAGTCAGCCAGTAATCACATTCAGTCCAAACAGTGGATAATACATGTGACCGCCCTGTCACACTGTAGGAACCTTCATATATGGAGATGAGTTTGTTTGCCGTACCATTTCCAGTCCAGAAACTCAGTGTCAAGGCAGAGATGCAGCTATGCGCATGGAATATTGACAGGGATCAAAAGATTTGTGAATACTTCGGGCTAACTCTTCCCACAGAGGAGAGTGAGAGGGGGAGATGGGAAAACTTGCTTCCTTTACAGGATCAAAGCAGAAAAGCAAACCCAAACTTAGAAGTTTATCATATTCAGCTACATCTGTTTTAATAAATTATGTTGTGATGAGCAATGTTTCTGAACACCAAAATCTGACCAGACGTATTGACTGTTACAACAGTCTCTGGCATGTTTTTGTCTTATGAAATAATATTCTATGAAATGCAATTGCATGGACTTGCTGCCTTTTCACCTTTAGTATATAAGTCTAACAGAAACTCTCACCACACAAAGGAGGCTAAGATCTCAGGAAAAAGATGTCTTGTGGGAGCTAAGGTATGATGAAGGAATAAGGATGATAAGTATTATAAATGCATATAATCTTGGTCACAGTAAGGGGATTTTATGTACTTTTCAAAGTGAAAACGTAACACCAGGATTTAGAGATCATCTGCTTTCAAATTTTTACTCTACTAGATTTCCAAACTTAGTGAACATTGCCAATAAACAGAATTGTAAGTTTTAATTTAAGTTGATTAAAAGATTGATGCTGTGTTGGAAACAGTGGAGATTAGCACAAACGATAAAAAGAAAGAACAATAGTTATGGCAATTAATATCTCGTCTGATGTCTTTCCCTCTGGGAAATTAACATTAGAAGATTCTAATTCTTCAGAAATTATACTCCTTTGCAATTAGCTTTTGTGTGACAATCACTTTAAAACAGTGTACTAAATCTATCTGGAGGCATTTTTCCTTCACATAACTCATTAGCTCAAGAGGAAAATGTAAACGATTATTCAGGAGCCCCACAGAGTGCAGCACTGCATGGGAGAAGTAATAGCTTCCACTCTGTCTTGTACTCACTTTCTAGAACTTTGCACTTAATTTCCACTTTCCAATTTGGAAATCACTTTTCTACTATAAAAATTAGTTAATTGTACCTATTACCTGTAAAATTAACATAAATAGAAGCATTGCTTCCTGACACTGACATAGCTAAGACCTTTTAACTCTTGCACAATTATCCCCAAACCCATGACAATATGAACTAAAATGATCCCAAGTGTAAATGAGTAACCAAGCAGATTTTGAAAGGCAGAGAAAACGCATATTTATGGATGGATTGCGTGCTACAAATCTAGATATGCTATCATACAAATAGTAAACATTCTTTAGCTGCTACCTCATAAAATCAGTTTTACCACTGAAGTCACAGGCAGGCTGCCTAGGGACGCTCCAAGCTTGATGATGCACACTGTCAAATCCAGTGCTTTACCACTACAAAGGCAAAAAAAGGAGTAGTTGTATTCCAGCAAGAAGCATTTGGATGACAGAGAAGGCCATGAAAACAGCTTGCTTCTGTTTACCTCTACACCATGCTCTTTGTGTTTACCTTTAAGAGCTCACTGTCTCAAAGGTCCAAATTCTTCAGCGTAATTGTAATCACTTTGCAAAACAAAGCAGCTTTCGACTAATTTATTGAGCTTAAGTATTTTTCTTATGTAAGGTGAAACTCGGGTAATTTACAATCATGAAAGCAATACCTACACTCTTTGAATATTTCACGTTGATGTTGATGGAAGAGAGAATCTAAGCCACACGGGACACAATTAAAGCAATTTCAACTCACAAAGATATCTGATTCTTGCAGCTTTCTTTGGGCTGCCCTTAAGTGTGCTAGAGTCCAGGACACATATCACAGAATCACAGAATTGTAGGGGTTGGAAGGGACCTCCAGAGATCATCGAGTCCAACCCCCTGCCAAAGCAGGTTCCCTACAGCAGGTCACACAGGTAGGCATCCAGGCAGGTCTTGAACATCTCCAGAGAAGGAGACTCCACCACCTCCCTGGGCAGCCTGTTCCAATGCTCCGTCACTTCACTGTAAAGAAGTTCTTGTGCACATTGGTGCAGAACTTCCTATGCTGCAGTTTCCGGCCGTTTCCCCTTGTCCTGTCTCCACTCACCACTGAAAAGAGTCCGGCCTCGCCATTCTGCCCCCCACACCTTGGATATTTATAGACCTGGATCAGGTCCCCTCTCAGTCTCCTTTTCTCAAGGCTGAACAGACCCAGTTCACTCAGCCTTTCCTCATAGGAGAGATGCTCCAGGCCCTTCACCATCTTCGTGGCACAGGATTGACTAAAAAGTCAGTGTACAGAAGAGAAGTATTGGCACCCTCTTTCCAAAGCTCAGTTTTGAAGCGGAAAGGTTGAGTTCTGACAGTCAGTCCTGCACCACCCAATCAGTCCAGTAGGCTTTCCACCCATAACAACCTTAAGCAAATACATTTTCACTTCCAAATGTTTTTACTAGATTTTAGCAGAAACTAATGAGCAGCACCACAAAGTTAAAATAGAAATAAAAATCCTATGTGCTCTGCTTCTAGTGGAGCTTTTGCATTTATTAGTCATACTTCTATCCTGTTTGAACGTGTTATTGCTATTTTCTTTAATTCTTTTTCCAGGGGCTGTCTATAGTTATGCCTGATGACAGTTATTGTTTCCATTGTTGCTTTTCTAATGTAGTGTCCATAATGGTGTGTTGCTTTGCTATAAGTAATAAAGCAATAACACACACACACAAAAATAAAGGACAGAAAGGATCTGCCCATTAAAATAACAACAACATGTCTCTGGTGTATAAACAGCACTGAAAATCTTCCATCCAGGACTTCCAAAGGTGTTCCTGAATTTGCTGAAACATCACATACCAGGGATGTGAGAGACATAGACCTGTTGGAACGTGCCCAGAGGAGGTCACCCAAGGGATGGAACACCTCTCCTACAAGGATAGTCCAAGAGAACTGGGGCTGTTCAGCCCAGAAAAAACAAGTTTGAGAGATTACCTGATAGCAGCTTTTCAATATCTACAGAGGAGTTATAGGAAAGAAGGGGACAGGGGACAGACTGTTTAGCAGGATCTGGGGTGAGAGAACAAGGGGAATGGCTTCAATTTTAAAGAGGTTAGATTTAGGTTAGATATAATGAAAAAGTCTGTTACAGTGAGGGTGGTGCGGCACTGGAAGAGGTGCCTTGAGATATGGTTGATGCCTCATCCCTGAAGACTTTCAAGGTGAAACTGGATGAGGCCCTGGGAAACCAGACCTGGCTGTGATGTCCCTATTCCTTGCAGGGGATTAGGATTATATGGCCTTCAGAAGACCCTTCCAACTCTTAAGAATTCTGTGATTCTACAATTCTATGAACAAAGTTGTACATTTAGATTACTCCAAAAGATTGGAAGGAAGAATGAGGGCCGCTATGAAACATAAATAATACAGCATTTAAACTCTTTCAATACTGTAGTTTTCATTAATTAAGAAATTTCTAACCTGAAAAGGATCGCTCTGAATTAGAAGACAGATGTTATTTTACACTCAGGGTCAGAGAATAATAGAGTACCTTAAGTAGGAAGGGAGCCATTCCGGGTCCCACACAGGACTACTCCAAACACAGGGTCTGAGAGCATTGTCCAAACACTCCTTGAACTCTGGCAGCTAAGGGCTATGACCTTTGCCTCCAGCAGCCTGTTCCAGGGTTTGACCACCGTGTGATGAAAAGCGTTTTCTTATCATCCATCTGACCACTCTCCCACACAGCTCCATGCCATTCCCTCAGTCCTGTTGTTAACACCAGAGAGCACAGATCAGTGCTGCCCCTCTACGCCCTATTTGTTATGATCAATGACTGCATAGTCTTTCAGATGTTCTTTAATAACTCCAAGAATAATCTTCATAATTTTTCCAAACGTTGAAATGAAAATGAGAGGCCTCTAGTTATCAGGATCTTCTTTCTTGCCATTCCTGGAAATGATGAATGGATTTCAACCTCATTGAGCAGCAACTGAAGTCAAGGTTTGGTGAACAGTGAACTCTCATAGGATTTAAGAATACGTAGCTGAGGTCTGTTAGCTCTGTAATGATGTTCATGTTATTTTCCTGCCCTGTCAGCCAATAAATATGGGGGAATTACACATTTTGGAATAGTGTAACTTGTTTTACCACTACTGAAAATGATGTTAGTGCCACAAAAATAATACAGTTTCTTTATTTAGTAACAATCCTGGCCATCTTTTCTTTTTGGTAGCTGCAAAGCAATTTCTCCTACTGGAGAAAGAAAAAGGCATGTATAGATATAGAAGAAGCAGGAGAGCAAGTGAAAAAGCACATCTGCACTAAGCTGTCATACTTCCCACGCAGAATCCTCCAGGATTCTGGAGCTTTCTCCTGCCACCATCTTCACCATGCCAATCTCTTGACATTTGTGCATAACCAATTCTGACTTTATAATCCTTCACATTATGACTAGATCTGTCAGTGAAGGATATTTTCACCACTGTACACTGGATATCAAACTTAAGAGCTTCAGCTGATATTCAGGGTTGCCTGTATAGATAATGAAAGACGCTAATGAATCACTCATGGGAAGAGCTTAAATTTGACCACTCTAACTTCACCAGACATTCAGGGAGTCCAAGGCCATAAGCCTAAACTCAGGTTATGTAAGTGTCTTTATATGGGACATTATCATTTTTATTATTGAAATCCAACTAGATAATTTCCTGGGTTTACTGGAGAAATTGTCTTCTAAAGCTGATTTGATCACTTTGAATGTGTTTTTTTGCTAGATGATTTTGTACAAATTCTTTATAAAGCTTAGATTACACCCATGGAGAATTTTTCAGATTTAGGTTGTGTGTCCAAATATTCAAATAATTTTGGGAATAATGCTTGAAAAAATATGAAAAAAAATGGTTGAAACAAAATGAACAGGATTAGCCTTTAATTGTTTTCTGCAGAATCTGTTTAATTTCTTGCATTCTTTCTCTGAAGAGAGAAAATTAAGTTGATAAAAGGGTTAGGTGAATAGATTCTACTTGTAATAGAACTTTTTAGAACTTTTCTACTTTTAATGCACACAGACCAAAGAGATGAAATTTCAGCTCCTTTTTTTTTGCAAACTACTACTTACCGTACTAGCTTCTATAGAGTTCCAGTAGGATCCCATCAACCCATTTAGCAAAGAACTTTGATTGTCTTCTTGCAAACTGGAGAAAATAAAAAATGAGTATACCATACCCTGTGAGAATTGAATCAAAGCTCTAATAGTGATAGCCGTTAACACCTTACAGTATTTCTTACCAACATTTTTGTAAGATCATCTGAAATGACAGGAGTTTGGGAAAAAATATTGAAAAGAAAAAAAAAAGATACAGAAAAATACAGTATAAGCACTCAGACTCTGAATAAGCCTTACACTGAACTTGTAGTGGTAAGGATTTGAAGGAATAGATGTATATTTAGGAAAAGGCAGACATTCAAATAAACATGTATGTATGTAAGTTAAAATGGAATTATGATTCTTTTGTTCCAAAGTAGGGACAAAGTGAAAGGAGTATTTTCTTCTTTCCCAATAGCTTGTATAAAATGTCTGCTCAGATTTCCTTCCCAAAAGACCAAAGATTTACAGACTTTCTATCTTCAAAGCACAATATTGCATTTTTCCAATACTTAAAAGCTCTTCCTTGGTTCTGTGTTTTGAAAAGATTGAATTAACAGAATATAAACAGAATATATTCCATTGCAGCCTGTTGTACACAGAGGCTCAGGAAGCATTTAAAATAAAATAAAATAAAATAAAATGCCCCAAAATTGCAACCATGCAGCACTGACAGGCACCATATATGTTGATACTCCTTTTAGCTACCGTTGAGTCAGTGCCTGCTGACAGAGAAGAGTTATCGTGTCCAGTTCTTATTCACCTCTCCCTTCAAAAAATGGACAAAATTGATGAATTTTTATCTTTTTCACATTCCCAGCTCAATATCCAAATATGTTTTGGATATTTGGATATCCGCTTTCTAGTCTCAGACAAGATCTTTGATGATGATAAGCTAAATTCTCTGTCAAAAGAAAAAATCAAATCTCAAGAATTATTATGCAAGAGATAGAATAATGTTCCACATTATAAATCTGTTAAGTGCAAAAAGAAAAACAACCTGATATAAGAGCAATTCTGGTCTTGTAGAAAAGAAAACAAGAGAGAAAAAAAGAGAAATAAGGACAACCAGAAAACCTTTAACAACTTCTGACTGATAATGATTAGAGAAATTAGACTCTGCAGCTTAAAAAGAAATTGCGGGTTTGGGAAGAGCCATCAAAGGAGGATATAACAGACACCCATAAAATGTGAGTAGAAGATAGATGACTGGAGCATGACTGTTCCTTACCTTTCCCTGTAGAAAACTTGTGTCTATCAAATGAAATAGGAAGTGATAGATTCAAACTAAAAAAAAAAAAGATGCTTCGATAACTCAGCTCAACAACGGAGCATCTTGGCATAGGACCTTGTGTACAGTGAATGTTTGCATGGGTTCATAAAGCGTTTGGATAAATTAAAGAAATTAGCATGGTGCTGAGGCAGCTTTCATTCATGGTGACAATGCTCCTGGTGGCTAAGGGAATCCTTGGTCATAAATTGCTTGAATGCGGAAAACTGTTTTGGATAAGAGTTGTTATGGAGTTTCCCTGTTGTTATACATTACTTGGAACTTGCAGAGACAAGAAAGCACACTGACCTTCATATATGCAATATCAAACTAGTCATATGCTCAAATTTTATTTGTTTTCCAGACTGGTACAAAAGAAAAGCTGGAGCTAAATAGCAACAGAACAGAGAAGTGTTCTGGTACATGGGTATGTTCTCTAATCTTTCAGCACTGGAACTATCACTACAATATGAATAGATACCTATAAAGTTATAAAAATATGCTGATAAATTCCAAGTCTTCCACAGAGAAGCCTCTAGTTGGTTGATTTGAACCATCACACTCACAAGCACCATTTAAGTAAATCCTTGTCAGATACCATTTCTGGTATTCAGCTTTCAGACATGCAGATCCTCAGTGTCCAATTGTTCCCATAGGAACATCTGTGAACAAAATACAAGTTGTCTTGAAAAGAGACATTGTCTCTCTCAAGGGAGAGATTGTCCTGGAAAATCCTCTATCATCTTTCACCTTGCAACGTTTTCAGCACATTACTCAACAATAAACAATCCAGAAAGTGAACTTTGTTCTCTATTATCACACTGGAGGTTTTCCATGTGCAGCCAAAGCAAGCATTAGTATCACAAAGGCTGACTATGTATTGATTTTGCAAGAGACTGCACATCACTTCAGAGAGCACCAATGGTAGCTTTGGCTATCAACACACCTCACTTTCCAACAAAGCTGGCAATCAAATCTTACTCACCTTTCAGCTGAAGGTTTTCTATGCTTCTGATAACTTCTGATCAACCAGTTAATCTCCAAATACTTACAAGTTAGATATATTTGAGAAAAACAGGTCATTTTAACAGAAGCAAAATATTGAGTCAACTGTACCCCTCGTAGAAGAAAATAATGGAGCCCACTGAGCCCCCTGAATATTTAAGTTTTCACAATGACAGTTTTCTAACATACATGGTAGAGGGAAACAATTTTCTCTCCCACACTTATTTACCTTTAACTAAAAAACATTGAATATTCATGCTGTATCAATTATATGCATTAAAAGAATCTCTCTTAACTCAGCCACACTGGGATTTTGTGTGCTAACTATCCTGTTAACTATCCTTGTTGACATGAATTGCAGTCATTTCACACATTCCATTCCAGGTCTGAGGCTGTATCCACCTTCTCTGCTTTTGCACAGTGCCCGTAAGAATTTGGATTGCAATCCTTGATAAAATGTAAAACTACTACTGTAAAAATGGTGAAGCACAGTCTTCAAGTCTAGGAATCAGAAATAAAAAAAAAAGAAATTCACAGTATTTTTGTCAGCAAAACTAGCTTCTTCAAAAATAATACAGGTAATTAAGTAATACTTAAGTGGTTGTTCTTCTGTGTTTAATGTACATCTTCTTAATCTAACTGTACAAAATAGGAGTCAGAGAAACATAGGGATAATGTAGCAATTTCAGGAAGCTGAGTTTTTCAGGACATCTGATGTTGTCAGGCATCTCTCGGTACTTGGTCAAGTTACAGATTATTAAACTGTCCTGAAATTTTCCCTGACTTGAGTTAATTGTAGCTAAAGTTTATCTCTCATTTCCTGCCCTATCCCCCTCATAAACCCCAGCTCCTGGTTATACTGTCCAGCACTGAAGTCAAGCACCAGTGTGTCACAGCTTGGTAATTCTGGGATACCTTCTGCCCTGTCCTTGAGGCTGGAGGATTCCCACTTCTTGCTCCCTCCTCTCTCAGAGGAATTGATTGACTCTCAGTGCTGGTTGTCAAAATTCCAGGACCTTACACAAGACCAGATCCTTATTAGTGGGGAAAAAAAAAAAAGTATTAAAATAAAAAAGATAATTCCAATTTATGCTAATAATATTGCTTCAGTTATGCTCCACTTTGTTCACCAGAAAATATATCTGTCATTCTGTCTTTCAACCTCTTCTCTTCTGTGATTGTATAACTCAAAGTGTTCACTGAGTTTTCTGTTGTTATCTGTTGTTTGCCAGCTGCCTCTGAGAATACACTAACCTTTTCAACAGGTCTGCTTTAAGCTCTTTGGCACTCCTTTAAAAGCGTCAACCTAACACTGAG